CAATGAAAGTAATGTAATATATGATTTTTGTGATAGTTCATTCATAAGTTTGCTATTAGTCAATAAATATTTTTCATTGAAAGTATTCATATTTGAAATAAGAAATGGCCATCTTTTTTTTACTCTTCATACAATGATTAAAAATATCCATTTACTATCCCTTTTGAGCCCATTGAATTCTTTTTTAAAAGAAACCTAACCAAAAATCACCCTCTACACTGAAGGCCAAAGTTTGAAAAAAGCTTGTTCACAAAAAAGTAAAGGTCCTTAATGATTTCAAGGGTAAAACTCTTGTGCTTGAATCTTTCTTGAAAAATGATGAAAAAGTGTAAAATCAAAAATGAAAGAGAAAATATGAAGAAAAGAAATAAAGAAAAAAAAGAGATAATTGATGAAGAATGCGACAAAAAGCTAAGGTGCTTCACATGATAAGAAATAATCATTTGGTTTATGACCCCTTTAAATACATTTTGGGCATGTTTTATCCATTTATTTCATAATGCCTCACCTTAGCATACATTATGTACCTTAAAAATCCATTTTGATTGAATGTAAATATTCAAGTTGAAGAATCATGTATTGAACTAAGACATACTTATAGCAAGATTGTTTGAGATTTTTATCATTGATGGATAAAGGGAAAGGGAAATGAAAAGAAAAAACGTGCAAAAAAAAAAGAGAGATGTGGAAAAAAAAAGAATGACAAAGAAGAAAAAAGAAAAAGAAAGAAAGGAAAAAGGAAAAAAAAAAAGAAAAACTTAAATTGAAAACTCAAAAGGGTGATTTAAGTGAAAAAAATTTGAGATAAAAACTTAAAAACAACTTCATATCATTTAAAGATCCTAGGGGATATGGCTAATGCATGGGTTGATCAACTCAAAGATTAAGAATATCAATGAAATGAGTTTTTGAAAAAGAATTCAAAATTAATTTGTTTAAAATTGCCTAGATATTCATTGTTTTAAATGTTATGAACCCTTCCAAGTACTTATCTTGGTAATTGACTTTGAAATGGTTTCTTTGCTTATTTATTTTTTGTCAAACGTGTTCTTATAATAAATATCATTTCTTTGATTTTATTTGTTCCTCACTATTTATTTTTCCTTTCCCATGATGAATTAAAAAAATGTGATGGATTACATTTGTCATCAAATTGAAATGATGATGAATGAATAAATTATTGATATGAAAGATTTTTTCATTATTTCCAAAAGATAATTGAAAATGACTAAGGCATCTTGAAAAATACACTAGAATAATGAGAAAGTTTGAAAGGATGTTGATCCTTACGGTTTATAAATAGGAAAAAAAAACATTCCAAATGTTGTGATCAAGTGATGAAACTAGTGAAAGAAAGTTTTAGGACACAAATCAGTTGATACATGTGCTGGTTAGTTCTAAAAGAACTAAAAATAAACATAATGGGAAAGCTAAAAAATGAGAGAAAACATGAAAAAAGTCGTGAGAACCATTTACCATAAGTACAGATACATGCCATTGACTTTTGCATTTCATGTATTGCTTTCATTGCATTCATGGAGAACATTGCATATATCATCATTCTTTGCATTCATTATGCATGATTGAAAAATAGGAAAAAAATGAAAGTTTGAATTTTGAAATTGAATTTAGAAATTTTGTAAAATATTTTCATTCATTGCATCTATTTATTACATAAGCTTGAAAAGCAGAAAGGAGAAAATAGATGTCAAGAGACATTGGAATATGATTAATGATGATCTAGTTGTAATGAAAGAAATCACTTTAAGGTAAGAATTTTTTAAAATTCCAATGCCTTTGTTAATGATGAACTATTTCAAATATGAGAAAGGTCTATAAGACCTCAGAGCATGATCTTGAAAATTTTAGTTTTATTTTTCAAAAGTTTTAAAACCTCGATGAGGGAGCACTTTAAATTTCAAAAATTTTGAAGCCCTGGTGGGGGAACTCTTCTATTTTCCAAAGTTTTGAAGCTCGACGGTGGAACATTTTAAATTTCCAAAGTTCCAAAGCCTCGATCGGGAGTATTTTAAATTTTTAAAGTTTTAAAACCTTGGTGGGGGAGCATTTTAAATTTTCAAAGTTTCAAAACCCCTGATGAGATAAACATTTTTTTTTTGAAAATTTCAAAGCCTCTGATGGGGGGAAACATTTTAAAATTTTCAAAGTTTCAGAACCTCTATTGAAAGAACATTTAATTTTCAAACTTTCAAAACCTCTATTGAGAATGAGCCCTTTTTTATTTTTCTTAACCCAAATAAAATGGACGTTTTTTTGTTTTTGTATAATTCCTATAATATGCAAAAAGAGGTAGTTGTAAACATCTAATTTTGTCCGGGATCTTTTTTATATTATTAGATCTCGAATTGCATTATTGGGTTTTAAAAGCTATTTTTAAAATCCAAATTTAAAGACCCAAAAACATTTTTTAAAATTTTGTTATTTGATAAAAAAAAAAGAAACGTAAATTATGATTTTTTTAAAGATTGTGATTTTATTTAAATTTAAAATTTAAAAATTGAGTTTAATTTTGGTAATTTTTAGGAATTAAGTTTTTACAAGAAAGGCAAGATCTTGATAGATTTAGTTTACATTAAAATTTTTCAAATTGAAAAGGGATTCAATCCCTATATAAAAGAACTCAATTATTAATAAAAAATCAATGCCAATCAAAGAATCAAGAAGTAAAAGAAAAAGCAACACAAAGTTTTGAATTTTGATAAAAAATTTCTCAGTTAGAAGGAGAAAAAAGATCACCAAGCAAAAAAAAAAGACAGCCACATACAAGCAAATAGATCAGTCAAGCAAAATTTTTCTTGTCAGTAGGCTTTATTTTAGATTGATCCAAGAGCATTGGTTAGGTACACTTTCTTTTATGGTATTATATTTATTTGTTATTTAATGTGGTTTAATGTAATATTTATGGTAATAATTTTTCATGAGATTTTTTTTTGCTAGTTTTTTTACTTCTTTGTTTATTTCTATATTTATTTATTCATTATTTATTTTTATTTAGGTTTTATTTTTTAAATTTATTTAATTGATGTAAATTAAAATTGAATTATATTTTTTTAGAAAAGTGTAAATATATTATTTTATGATTAGAAACTTGTAAATGTGCTTGTATCAATTTTTGTATGATAATATTGTGTAAATAAATAAAAGGAATTTAAACTTGATTTTGATAAGATATTTAATAAATCTGATAACAGAGCTTTTTTAAGTGAACAATGAATTTATTTTGTATACTCTTGACATGAGGATTGTTTTTTTTTTTCTTTTTTGGTAAAAGCTTAGAGATTTTTCCAATATTTTAAATATTGAATTGATCAAAACATCTTGATTAAAGCCTTAAACAAAATGGACATGTGATTAACTTTGATATCAATATTCGGGGAATAATGGGTTGCTAAAACCTTCTCTGTATATGGACCACTCCACGAACTTAGTTCCATTGATATAGATCAGACCTTTTTTTTTAGGGTCGTTTAATTTAAATTCAGAGTAATCTTTAAAAAGATAAATTCCATATAAGTAGTTAATTAACACCCTAGATAGAAAAAAGAATTTGGTGGTGACTTCATATTTTTTGTAAACCTAATAAGTAGGAATATCAAACTTGACATTATGACATAAATGAATTTAAATATGTTCTTGAATTTTACTAAAAAATAAAAATAAATTCTTAACTTTTTATTAAATAAAATGAAGGCTGTTACCTTTTTATTTTATTGTAATTAAAATCTTATTACTATAAAACATTTAACTTTTTGTTAAAAATTTATTAGTTGGATGATATGTACTTTATATAAATTCTTACTTAGATAAATAACAACAAAAAAAAATAATCAAATGATATTCAATCAATTTATAAATTTAAGAATGATTAAATCATAATTTAGATTGCATCACATAAGATCACATTATTTATTCATTAATTTTTTAAAGATGTATATATTTTTTAAATTTTAAAACAATTGAATGTAACTTAATTTGTTAATATTACAACGTAAAAAAATGTTTATATGTATATATAATATGAATTACTATATGAATATAATCCCACTAAAATTATTTTCTGACCACGCCACTGATCCTTGTATCAATAAACTATAAAAATTAATTTTTTTTCCTCTTTCCCTTAGTTTTTTCTTTTTATTTTTCTTCCTTTTCTGCCAAATATAGCTGTGATCAAACCTTATAATAATGCTCGTAGTTAATCATAGTCAATTTAGTCAATATATTACGTATTTTACTCGTACTATCGTATAGTAGTACTATATTTACATCTAAGATTTCAATGTTTTAATATATTTATTAAAATTAATGATTGGATGTAACATGTTCAAGTCATCTTTTTCTCTTACTTGTCCTCAGCTCCTAACCAGCTAAGGCAAGATCATGAATTTCATCCAGATGTGAGAGCTGCGTTGGCAATCATGCACAAAAACGATAAAAAAAAATTTATATAAAGGTCATATAGTAAAAATTATAAATAATTTTAATAAAAAATATATATTTTATATTTTTATATCGACATAAATTATAATAAATACTTTTTTTATAAAATATAATATAAATATATAAATCATAAAATTTTGGATTATTTATATGTATATATTCGAGCTAAAAAGCCATGAACAATTAATATAACAAAATCTAAATTCCCGATTGTAACTATATATATTGGTGTGTTGGTAATTGTACCATTGGCAACCATTTTCCAAACCAAATCAAAAATGGATCTCAAATGTGGTGATCATCATGAAAAAACAGAAAAAGTTTCAAAACTTTTTTCCCAATTAAATTTAGAATTAATGCTAGAATCATGATATAATTATCTATTTTTCTGAATATAATTAGAAGAAAAATCTTCTTATTCAAACAATCTTTCTACCTTTGATCTTTGCCTTACACAAAACTAGAAAAGAAAATTCAAGGTAAAGCTAACAAAAAAAAAAAGAAAAAGAAAGAAAAAAGGGATCAAAGATTCAAAGCGTTCATCTACACATTTGAGGATGATGAGAAGGTGTGAGCGCACAATCTGGAGAGTAGCAACCAACGATTTCTTTGTCAACATTGAAGCCGAAGTCATGTAAGAAGAGAGCATCTTTTTTAAGTTCAACCATCTTCAAGATCTTCTCAAAGGTGGAAACCTCACAAGGGATCTTTAACACACCTTCCTGTTGAAACCCAAACTCCTCTTCCGCTTTTCTTAGCAGAATCCCAAATGCTTGGTGACCCAAGTACTCTGTTGGTATGATGAATCGCTTCAGCTCTTTTCCTACGCAAACAGCTAGGAACCCTTTCGGGACAACCTCACCTGACCCTGACCCTGCTGAAACGTCTGTGAAAGATAGTGTTCTCTTAAAGAATTTGATACTTCTACTACCGCCACCGCTGGTGCTGGTGGTCGGATGAGAGGAGGAGCTGCTGCTGCTGCTGCTGCTATTGTTGTTGATGCTGTTCTTTGGTGCATTTGCTAACTTTTTCCACTTCTTGAGGATCTGTTGAAGCCTGACTATCTCCCTGATCTTGTTAGACTTTTTGGAATCCATCAATAAGTGAAATTTTCTGCAAATAAACTCAGCTACGTCTAGGTCTAGCTTTCTCTCCCTCGTGTGAATGAATTATTTTCAATGGGAGGTGGAGCTCAGATATGTAGAATTAATAGAAGCTGGAGCCTGGAGAGAGGTGCTTGGCAACACTTTTAATTTTTATAAATAAAAAATAATATTTCAATTCACATATAATTAATTGAATAAAAACATATTTTGGTTTATTATATTATAAAAAAAATAATACTAGTGGTACTACAGTACACATGCATTGAAGGCAGGGTAGACGTCGGTTAAAGTTGAAAAGCAACTGCCTCGAGAGTCAGAAGTACATCTTTGGTTTGTTTAATCCCAAGACGAGTAGTTTTCCAGATTTTTCAGCTGTCTTTATCCTTGCTCTTGAAAGTCCAGTTTTTCTTAAATATAGATAGTTCTAGATACAGTGGTATATAATGTAAAAATAATACAGAAAATAAAAATAATATAATTTAATGTTTGATAAAAATTAATATAAATCTTGTAAAAATTAAAATATATATTTTATATTTAATAATATAATAATTTTTATATTTTATATTTATTTAATATAAAATAAATATAAATATATAACTAATCAAATTTATTTTTTTTCTCCCCTCCGAAGAAGTTTAAGAAATGGGATTCTAAGGAAGATGTAAAAATGTTTGGCATGCAACTGAGATCACATGGAGAAGGGTGTAATTTAATGCAAATGGATTCCGATGCAACTGCTCTCTCAACAGTCAAAACCACATAGGAAATTATTAAGTCATCAGTTTGTCTTGGCATATGTGTCCATTTAATGTTATTAATTACTGATTATTCAAATCTGTTTATTGGATTTTGGGCAATGCTTAGATGATGGCAACTCAACAAATTCCACGTGTGATTTCTGATTACCACCTGATTTGGCTTCTGACATATTAAGCAAGTTGACAACATCACTTAATAATTTCTTTTATATATACGTACGATATAGAACATCAAAGGACTTTTTTCTATTTAAAGAAATTATTCATCATATGTGCTCCACTTTACTTCTCCACGGATATCTTGAATTACTATTTGTTTTTATAATGGATCTAGAAATACTGACTAAAAATTATTAAATTATTTTTGTTTGAGATTTTTTTTTTTTATTTTTTAGCCTTAAGTTATTGGTTTTGTAAGAGTTATTAATTATTATATTAGGGGTAAAAATATTTTCATAAGTTATATAGCTTGTATATAAGTCTTGAAAAGCTTATATCCCTAATATAATAATTAAATAATTTATAATTATTTACTCTTACAATTAATTACTAAAAAAATCCATAGAAAAAAATAGAGTGTACGTAATAAATGCTATATTTTTTCTTAACATTGTCAAAAACTAGAAGAATGAATAAAAGATATGTGTAAAAAAAGTTTAAAAGGGAAAAGCAAATTAAAAATTGAAGGAAAAAGGAAAAAAGATAAAAAAAAAAATGGAGGAAGACGTAATAATTAAGAAAACAAAACATGGATCACTAATCACTGGCCCAATTTGCAGTATTAAATAAATTAAGATGTAATAATGGGAGTTAATAATTTGGTCAAAGTTCAAAGGAAATTGTCATGTCGTACGCTTTCATGTTGTTTAATTTTTAAGCATCAAGATTAATTAATTAATTAATTATTATGGGTATGAGTTGTTTTTGTTTATTGTTAATTATTTTCTTTTGAATGAAAGACATCTTTTTGTGAAATATTTTGAATCCAATACTTAATTTATTAGTTTATATAATTATTTTAAAAAATTATATTTAATAATTTTAAATTTTACTTCTTACAATATTTTTTTATGTTTAAATTACTATTTTCTTTGTAAAAAACCCTATAATATTCCGCTCCTCTTATCGAGAAAGGTGTAAAATTAATAAATACATATGTAGGTTTTACCATTTCACATGATCAAGGCCATTAAATCTAAACACCATCTCCAATAAAAAAAAATTGACAAACCCACTTTAATTTAATTCTCTCTCTGATTTGAGACTAAAGCATGGAACACAATTTTTATATTAATTTAAAGCAATATCTTATTATGATTTATTTAAAACAACTATATTATTAATATGATAAATAAAAAACTAGTGATAATTTTCTAATCCTGCTTGAAATTTTAGTAGGATTAGAAGGTTTCCAAGATAACTATATATAACTATATATAATATGATAAATAAAAAGGAAAGCTCAAGTCTTATATATATATATATATATATAAAGTTCACAAATTAAGATTAATTATTTTTATTAGATTAATAAGCAAAATTCATCGATATTATAATGCTTAACATAATAAATTTCAACAGCATACAGAGGCAGATCCATAGTTAAGGTAGAATGTTTATGGACATATTCAAAAATTAAAAAGTTAAAAAATTTTGAAAAAAAAAATTTCACACTTTTTCTATCGAAAGAATTGATAAAGCCGTCAGTAATTTTTTATTAAATAATTGTTTAGTTTCATATATTGAGAAGAATATATTTAATAGTATGTCTGTTTTTTTAAAAAAATATGAAAATTTGTTGTGAACAATTATAATAAAATAACAATAAATTATTTCAATTTTTTATTTATAATTTTATATATTATAAGTTGATACTTTAAAAAAATTTAAATCTGCCCCTGATATAATATAATATAATATATATATTATTAATTTATTAAATGTATATAATAGTGACATGATAAAGAGGGAGGGGCCAAGGGGGAGAGAGTGATTAAAAGCATAGAAAGTTTTTTTTTTAAATTTTTTTACATATAAAGTCATACTTTAAGAATAGAAAAAATTTTAAGTGTTAAAATTTAAATTTTAGATGTGATGAATGTCACTTTTTAAGAATAATTACATAAATTAATTGAATTAAATCTTGGGTTCAAAGTATGAAAAATTATCTCATTTATATACATATATATATACATAATATATATACATATATATATATTATGTATATGTATTTATATATTATGTATATAATACGTGATGTTCTTGTGTCCCATGTCCATGTATGATGGATGCTTTCATTATATTGAAAGAGCACAACAATGATTGCTGTGGGTATCTGAATATGATTGTTTTCAACTTTCACTGCCGCCGAAAGGCAGAGGCAGAGAGACCAAGAAGCAAGTGGAGTGAATAGGGTCGCTTACCTTCATACAAATTAAGGTTCAAATTCAGTATATAGCAGCTGCAGCAGCCAGTAGCAAATAATGAATTGAAATCAGTGCTCTGCAGATTATAATCGATCCCTCCAATCATTCACTGCCACCTTCATCATCATAATTATGTTTCTCTAAGCTGTATTTTGTCTCTGTTTATACCAAACTAAACAATCCACTTACCCCACTATCGATCACATTGGTAAAACAATTTCAACTTAAATAAATGATCGAGTTTATGAATTTTTTTAAAGCTTTAAAAGTAAAGAATTGAAAATGCTACAAGTTAGGAAGAAAACGAGAAAGCTTATTGATTCTTGTAACTCGATAAAATTGCGCCAACTTGATATATAAAAAAAAAAATGATGATTGCTCGAATGCTTTGATGTTTATAGATTTCAGGTAACTTTAAATTATGATTAATTAATTGTAATGATTTGGATAAAATTTGCCACATGCCGTTCATTAATTGGCCAAAAGTTGTTGACTTTGACCAAAAAAATCCACCTCACTAACTAAATTTCATGTCATCTCCCTTGTCAAGTTACCTCTATTTTGCCATACGTCTCTTTTTCATTTAGGCTGCATTTTTGGTGTAAACACAAACCCAAATTTTTTTTAAACAGAAAAGTGAAAGATACTGCTTACCATATCTCATGCCTTAGGTTTTACAACTCCTTATGGTAGATCAATTAATACATAATAATTTCAAATCAATAAAATGTTTAGTTAATTATATAATTAGCTTTTTATAAATATATTGAGTTTTACAATCTCAATCTCTATTGAAAAATATTATTGACATTAATAAATAATATGATAAAAAATTTATTTATATGAATAATATCTATAATTTTCTTCGTCGCCAACAACAAATCAATAATCAATAATCATTATTCGAAAACCTCTATCTCAAACAAGCAACAAAATCATCTAAATAGCATCTTATGTTACTGCATCCTAGCCAAAGTTCTTTCTTTTCTCGTTATCATGAAATTATTGCTTCTTATGTTAATTTTTTTGAATAATTCCTTTTATTGATAAATATATATCTTGTGCCCCTAAGAGTGATGAGGTGAGCAGTAAAACAAGAAGAAAAAAAACTCCTTTTAATTACCAGTATAATGTTGTTTTTTGTTTTTATATACATTTGTTATTTGCATTTTAAAAAAAAAAAGTAAAAATCGTGTTTAAATAAAAAAAAAGTGCATGTTAATATTATTAAAAGACTATCATACATAAAATATGTATGTAAAAATATAAAGAAGAAGACCTTTGGAAGATGTTCCAAGAAATATGGCCAATCTCGCTCTTTCCAAGAGAAAAAAAAAATTACATTAAATTCACATGGCAGACAATATTATGAAATTACAATTACGTAACTAATGTGGCTGAAAATAATGTATGCCATGTGCTTAGCCATATCCTGCAGTTTTTGCCTTGTTTTTCTCTTCTTTTTTTTTTTTTTTCCTTTTAGGAAACGTAATGATCATGCCCTACTCTTTCATTTTCGTACATGAGGATTTGTTGGATCTATAGATGTATTTAAAGGAGTGTTTGATTTTCAAAATCTTAGATTTAAAAAGAAATATGAATTTTTTATAAGAAATAATTTTTCATGGTATGAGATTATTAGATTCTTATGTTTGATTCGGAAAAATTTCAAATTACTTAAACATGTATTTTTATTATAATATCCTTCACTACAAAAAAAAAAACAAATTGTCAATAAAAACAATAGACAATTAATACATTTCAACTCCTAAAATGTAGTATTTTGAGTGCCCAAATATAGAAAAAAATATTAATTAATTACTACCTTAAGTTCATCCAAGAAATGCATGAAA